TTTAATATTGTACTTTGAACAGTGCTGAACTGCAACTCTGGGCTTAGTCTAGTGGTTCTGTGCAGCCTCCATCAAAGCCTGCCACAGCTGCAGAGGAAATGCACAGGTGGGCCTGATGGCAGCATCTTGCCTTCACGTGAACGTCTCTGCCTGCTGAAACTCTACGGAAGAGCCCCACCTGGGGACAAGCTACCTCTGATGGGCAGGGCTTTGTGAGACGGACCTCCAGGCTCCTGCTGGGTTCTCCAGCTGAGCTGTGCCAGAGGACAGCTGCAAAGGACTGCTTCACAAAGTACCTCCGTAGAGGTAGGGAGCTCAGGTGCAGCCAGTTTGGTGCAAAGGAACCACTGTCATCTATCTTTAAAGCTTCCATCTGTCAGAGCACTCAAGAGGGTGTCCTGAAACTGAGAACTCCTCCACTTTGCGCAGTAGCAGTTTCCACAAAGAGCAGTAACCCACGGCTTCGCTTTCGTGTTCATCTACAAAGTTAAATTCGGAAACTTAACAGAAGTATTGTGAAGATGCCAAGATTTTCCAGCTGAGCCTACAACTCAAACACTTGTAATAAACAGTTTAAAAGCCACCAGCAGGAAATGAGCTATCAATTTCAAGCATATGAAGATGGTACAGAAAGTCAGAGAATGAGATAAACAGCTAAAGACTTAGCTTTCTCACAAAACTAAGACTACGTCATTGGTCTTCAGGATGCACAAGTTGTATCTGTGCTCTGTTACTGCACTAAACTGCTCTGCATATCCTGCGTCAAGCAGGCTGGCAAATATACGTATATATGCTGTAAAGGGCCAAGATACTCAGTGTATAGTTTGTCTCCAGGTTTCCCACCCCAGCAAACAACATAATTCACTCCAATCCCGGTCCCGTGTGCATATTTGCACAAGGCAAAATGGCTGAGGACTAGCAATCCAGATCAAAAGAGGGAACAAATTAGCTCCCCAGCATAGGCACCCCCGTGTTAGCCAGGATCACGCCCGCAATAGGACGAGGGAGCAGATGGATGATTTGGACTGCTCTTGACTCTGCAGGCCCACAGCTCGAGAGTCTGCTCAGCTTCCTGGTGCCTCCAAAATCACAGCAGTGACCAGAGTAGTTTGGGACTCCTTTTCCTTCCTCCATCTGCCCTTACCCAGCAAGACCAGAGAAGATGCTGATCTTTTCAGCCTTGAGGGGGCTCTGGCAAGAAGAACTCTAAGCAGCCCAAGACCTACAAGGTTCAGAATCCAGCTCTCCCCACGTGGCCACCAAGGGAAACAAAGGGGCCATGCCCCGGTGAACAGCAGAGGCATGAATTTAGGACTGAAGGTGGTGGCTCCACCTACTTTGTGGGTCTAGAGTAAGTAGGCACAAGGAGGTGAATTTTTACTGAAGTTTACATTTCAGTGATTCCAAGGGGCTCCTGAAAGGCACATGTAAAATAGGTACTGCCTTGAAAGAAATGAAAGAACAGCTTTGAGGAGGACTGAAGGCTACTTGCCAGTTCTTCACCACCAAGCACAGCAGCAGGTAGGCATAAGCTAATGGTTTAGGGGCAAACATGACTCTTTCTTGCTCTTGAAGTGTGAGTGAAAGGCATCCTGTGTTCCACAACGATTAGTGTCTTCCTGGGACAGCCTGGCAGGCCACACTGACAACTGCACTAGTGGGATGCAGCTCTAGGTTTCCACTGTGACGAAAAGAGATTACCCAGCACAAAGCCTGAATAAAGGTTTGGATCTCATCTCAAATGAGTGGAGCTGGAGAATCCCAAAAATTACTTTTTAAATCAAATGAGTTTTTAAGTGTGTGAAGTCACGCTGACTGAAATGCTTTGCAAAATTCCTTAGAGTACTACAAAGAATCTTTTAAAACATGTTCCCCTTCCCCGTGATAAAACGCAGATAAAGATTTACCTTGCATACAATCTCCAGCCCGTATGAATTCTCACCACGACTAGAAGCACCTCCAATTTTCTCCACTCTGTTGATCACACCTAAAGATGCATCTAGGACAAAAGGAGGGTCCTGTAGACAGTTGAAATTTGTGAGTTTAAAAAGGGGAGGGGGAAAAATCCCAGCTCCTGCTCCCTTAGGCCTACGTTACCAAACACACAGAATTATTCTCAAACAATATCTAGGTCTAAAGATTGAATAGCCAACAAAAGCAGATGATTTCAAAAGCTTACCCGTTCCATGCTTTTAAAATACAGTCTATAATTGGTAACAGTAAGGGTTCCTCTGATTGCTCCAGTGAAGGGGCAGATGTAAGTGACATCCTTAGCTTAAAAAAAGAAAAAAAAAGTCGTTAATTTCATGGATAATTTACAGGAGTAAAATTAAGACAGCAACATGTAGGGGGGGCTCTGCTTTCCAGGTAATGAAATGAGAACAAGCTTAATCTGGGGTTCTAGCCTAGAGCTAACAGGCATGTTTCAGTTCTGTGGAGAAGGTTGTGGAGCTGGGATGTAAACTGAACTCCAGGCAAGTACCATCACCTGGAACCCTACATTTGCACAGAGCCACTACCCCTGTAAGAAAGGCAGTGTCCAGCCGCAAACTGTTTACTCTTCCTGATACACTGCCAGTCGCCAAGAATGCCAAGCACAAAAAGAGGAGACAATTCCTGCCTGGATGCATACATAAGATTTGAAGCTGACAATAATCTGCACAGAAGCTAAGGATTGTCCACAAGCTGGTCTGTGCTACCAAGGGCAGGAGAAGGCTCCTATGTGTGGCTTTTAGGATGCCTGGATCCTCCTGCACGCAGTCAGCCCTAGGATGAAGTCCCTTGTGCTAAAAGCCAGAAGAACTACAGTGACTTCCAGCAGGCACAAATCTGTACAGCACCCAGCTGCTCATGATTTTAAGTCTGAAGTCAGCAATCCAGTTACTCTGCACCAATCCAATTACTTCTGAGCCTGAGTGACGGTGACTCAAACCAGTCCCCTCCTTAAAAGGCCTCAAACACTTCTCACTTGCTCCAGCAAAAGGCAAAAGTGCTGCTGGTTTTTCACAGCAAACACCTCCCCTAACCGCCCTTCTGTTACACATCAATTCAAAATGCCAATATTTACGTTGTTCCCTTCCCCTCACCACTGACCCATCACATCTTCTGCCACCGAAGCAGTTGCTGGGCCGGGCTGTGGCAATGGTTTACATTATCTCTGACAAATAATGACATTCCTCAAACATGCAGAGAACCTTTCAGAGGACCCACTGACCAGAGCTGCCAGATACGTGAAAGAACTTCCTGAACCATCTTAATAACCTCAAACCTTCAAACCCGACAAGATCTACTTTGCAAGGGCCATGTGAAGTCAGGAGGACAACTTGTCTCCCATCCGGGTGACAGCCACCACATACATGAGACATGAGGCTACTGGGCCATCAGGATGGGGACCTGAATTTCTTCTGCCTTCATCTCATGAGATTTAGCTGGAGCGAGGGAGGAAGAGGGGCTGCCTAACTCCAGGGTGCTGGCAACTCATACGACTAAATCATCCTCACGTCTGCTCTGCTACTGCACAGTCTTCGCTGACTCTCGAGATCTGGATATGGAGAAGGATCCTTGAAATATCAGAAGTGACTAATTCAAAGCAAAAATACACAGCACAGGATTTTTGGTTAAAATAAATAAAATACATATACACACATACACCAGCAATTTCATCATTTACTTAAATTTACATGCCTTTGTTTGAAGGACAATTAAACACAAAAAGCTTCTAGCCAGTTCTAATTAAACCAAGTGTTTCATTACTGGCCAACTATTAATCACTTCTTTTCAAAGCCTAGTTTGACAGGGGTTTGTAAGCAGACTCATGAAGCACAATGAAGGTGAGAGTGGCCTGCCCAGATTTTCCACTGGAGCTCCCATTATTCAAAATGTAATTTCAAAATGTTTGAAAAAAATAAAATCTACTAGTAAAAGAAGTGTGCATTTACATCTCAAAAGGAACAGGATTTCTGGGTAAAGAGGAAAGGTGCTAGAAAAATGTGTTCCAGGTAAGGAATCCCAGGGCAAACACTGGCCCTGCCAGCTTGTAAGCCACAACACCTTCCACATTTGCATTTTATTAGCTCGGTTTCCTAAGGAAACAATTTCACTTAATTACACTGCACATATACACGTGTACCTGCACACATGGCTTGTCTGACCTTAACCCCACCACCGCTGCATGATTTCAGCAGTCTCTGTCCAACAAGCAGGGATCTCCATGGCATTAAAATGCTTCACTATTTGTGAGAACAGATGCCAGGTATAACAGGGAGGTTTTATTAATGCTACCACCAAAGGAAAGTCTAATAAGCTCATGTCTTTGGTAGCAGATACAAGAGAATCCATATGGGAGAAAGATAGGGGAAACCAGGATTTACTAATTCCCCTCCTCATGTAATTCTGTCTTTTATAGGGCCAATTTTACCCTAGATTATTATGTTGGCTGAAATAATTTTTTTTCCTTCCCTGTAAATTACACAGAGAATTACATTTGCTTTCCTTGGTACTTTTAACAGGAAATAATTATTGCTGATGAATAATAAAAATTTCCTTTTTGCTACCTTTAACTTCTTGCTGGACCAGGCAGCTGCTATCTGGCCTACTCCAGAAGCCACCTAGTCTTACAGACTTACACGACCCAACACATCATTTGCCAACAGATAAAACAGATAAAAATCTCTGATCTCCTAAACTATTTCCCAGTAACTCTTTGAAATATAGTCTTGCTATCAGAGCTGACCGTGCCTGCAGAGTGAGATGTCAGCCAGCAGTGCACGGCTGGAGCAGGAATTCAGAGGCCTTAAAAAGGATTGAGCAACGAGGTGCGAGTTTTGTTGTTGTTGTTGTTGGGTTGGTTTTGTGCTTTTTTATCCACAGAATGATAGAAACATTAAGGTTGGAAAAGACCTCTAAGATCATCTAGTCCAACCGTCAAGCCAACACTACCATAACCACTAAACTATATCCTGAAGTGCCATGTAGACACGTTTTTTGAACATCTCCAGGAAAGGCAACTCCACCACTTCCCTGGGCAGCCTGTTCCAACGTCCCACCACTCTTTCAGCAAAGAAATTTTTTCCTAGTATCTGATCTAAACCTTCCCTGGTGAGGTACTTTCAGTTTTGGTTTGGGGTTTTTTATTCTTAGGACTGAAGTTGCACTGTTCCATATCATTTCGAGAGTAAAGGCAAAATGTTAAACTAGTGAATGCAAAAACTTTCACACAAAATTTATCAGACTCACTCAAACTTTCAGACTGGAGTGCATCAGCAAAGCTGATGCATGTCAAAACGTCTGTCACAGCAAGTTCTCTGCAAGGTACCCTCTGGTGCAGTCTGTGACAGAGATTTGACAACCAATTGCACTGTGTCCACCTACCAAGTTACCCTGTGGCAAGCACAAGGTGGAACAGTCGATCCATGTCCTCTCAGGAGGCAGCAAGTGCCAAGTTGTACAACCTTCCTCATCACTCCTGCTAACATACACTGAATTTCCTTCCATTTGCTCTATGCTAAGAGGAGACTTATAGCTACCTCAGCTCATGTGATGCACAGTAACTTTATTAATGAAACAACCTGTTCGCAGTTCTCAACACATCAGCAAGGTTGGTCAGTACCCGCCAAGATATTTTGCTCTACAGATATTCTGTTTGGTAAGCAAACAATAAGGAATTTCCTCCTCACATACCCATGTCTTTAATGGTCTCCCCAGGTAGCAAAGGCGGCTCTTCCATTTCAGCCAATTTATTAGTCTCCCTCAGGACCTAGGCAAAAGATAGAGGTAGAGAAAGAAATTCATTGTGTTTTCATAAATAAAGAAATGAAGAAACTTCCACTTACTCACAATGGGTCAACAATACCAAGGACAACAAATAAACATCTTGAGGTACTGCCTCATGTCTCAGCTTCCAAAAGATCCACACAAAGCACGTGAAAGACCTTCATGCAGGCGTTGAGAGTACCGTTGGGCCACGCACAGGTGTTTAGGCATGGAGGTCTGCAAGAAGGAAGCTGTCCAAAGAGGGCTCTGCTTCCAGGTGGCCGCCTCTCACATTCCAACCTTCTCCTCCCCAACCCATCATCACAAGTCAAACACTCTGTCCACAGAGTTATGCACAGAACCAAAGGGATCGGTTCCTTTCCTGGCTGAAGTGAGCAGCTGTAACCATGATGCTCTGAACTACTCAGGTAGAGCAATTCCTGGTTTACATTGTTAAAGAGGACACCTGGTCACACCACTGTCTTCAGTGAGGGTCTGATAACTGCAAAGATCCTGATTTGTCTCAGTAGCAGCAGCTTGTTACAAAGGTTCTATTTTGAAAGGCATGTATAGGAGGTACAGTTTCAATTTTTTTTGGCTGGACATTTTAAGAAAGCACAGCTGAAACTATAAAAGCATAACCTGAGGTGTAAACCTACAGTAAGAACTAGGGGAGAAGAGCATACCTCAGTGATCAAGATTAAGGCTAAGACTATGTGACCAAACACAGATGGCTTTAATCGTATTTGATCAAATCAAACCAGCCAAATGACCAGTACTACGGCAGCACACCAGTTGCTCAACCTAGTGACACGGACAGAGAGCAGGAAAGTCAGTCCAGACTCTGCCTCACGCTGCAGAAACCACAAGACTTTGGGCTTAAAGTTGACGTGTGTCCCACCTGGTGGAGAAGGGCAGAGAGAGCTTGTGTCTGCTCACAACTTGCTTAAAATGGTTTCTTTATCTTAATGTGCGGAAAGAGAAAGAAGCGTTTTAATTTGGTACCAAGAAATCCTTGCAAAGAAACTTCAAAGACATGGCCTAAAGCGGTGCTCTAGAACCTGACACGTCTGTGGTCAACTTTCATGTGGGATCAAGCCAGAGGGAGAGCCTCAGGGAAGAAAAATTCTCTAAACTATGCAAAAAAATGAAAACAAAACCCGAAAGAAACCTTATGCCACAATTAAAGCACGTTCCAGCATTTTCACACAACAGATTGATGTACAGATGAAAAGATTAACAAGATCAAAGCCTTCTTGAGAACAAGATGTACATTTTAAAAAATGCATTCAAAAGACTCTTAAAAAAAATAATAATAAAAGCAAGCACAGTCCTGGCTTCTTCATCGGAACCTCATAACTGCACCCACTTGGGTCAGCTCTTAGCAAGGGAGCTGCCAGAGCAGCTGGACTGGGGTCTACAGGCTGGGTAAAAAGGGGAGGTCGCCCTTCCCAGAGATCCCGCTGCCAGCACTGAACTTGCAGGAAAACTTCTCCTCCCCCACATCAGCAATACCAGAAAGAATAAGGTTTTGCTGGTGTAACTTGTAGAACTACGTCTGTGCTGAGGATTCCTTGTCAGCACAGCTGTGCTGGCCGAAGATCACACATCCCATCAAAGCCCTGACTGACGGCCTCCCCGACAAAAGCCTGGGACGGAGACCCGCTCTCAACTCCTGTGTGTCAATTTTTGTGCCTGAGTAACAGCCTTGAAATGACGAGGACAACATCTGGATCACTCCAAAACAGAAGACGGAGGCTTCTGGCTAAAGTGACAGTCACCTTCTAATCGTGGAAGGACATTAATAAAAATACACTCTGCATTCAGGACGTGATCACAAGTTCTTTGAGAAGGTCTGTGCCCCCCGAACGGGCAGCAGCTGCTGCAGGGATCACTTGGGTCAACAGCTGGGCTTGCTGCTTTCCGGCAGATGTCAGTGGGAGCACATTTGGAGGACTGGGCTATATTTTAAGCCAAAATAAATATGAGGTAAGATACACAGAAAGCATTTGGTGTGACAAACAGCTGCCACAATCACTAGGTGGGCAGCGCTCAGGTGGGTTTTAACCACTGCGCTGTGGGGTGAGGGAGAGAAGGAGGGAAGAGGCAAGCAGTATGAAAAACAAAGATGTCAACACCATTCTGCAAAGACAAGGCTGAACGCTTTTTCAGGTTTAAAAACTGGCTCTTCTAAGTCTAATAAAATCCATCTGCTCACTCATACTCTCTGAAACGTGGAGTCCCCAGGGTCAGAGGAAAGGCTGAGTGATCCAAACCTGCACTCCCTTCAGCACAGGGCAGCGGATGGATGGCCTCCTGGAAGCACAGCACTTCAAGATCAACAGCTTCCGCTCCCCTTGTCTCCTCCCCCACACCTGAAAAAAAATTTTTCTTTCTTTTCCTACAGAGTCGAAGACTAAACACATTTTCACCATGCCCCAAGGGACCTCAGCCACACGATCTACCTCAGGTAACACAGCACTGGCCGCATCCACGATGATTTCAAAGTCAGCGCAAGCACATCACCCCTGGCTAAGCTATCCCGCCCAAAACACCGAGACAGACATGGTCACAAAGCCCAGGGCAAACACTTCTCTGGCATGCCGGATTCTGCAGCCCCTGCCCAGCTCCAGGCCTTCAACGAGGCTCCTGGTTGGAACACTTAAAAACTGGCCCCGCAGAAAACAAGAAATGAACAGTAGGCATTTTCCTGAAATCCATCTCTATCAATGGCTCCTTAAAATTGATTCAGGGAAACGCAATCTGTGCAGCTCACAACGCAGGCAGCGGGCACAGGAGAAGACATCTGGGGCAGCAGTAAACGACAGGGATGGCAGAAGGGAGGAAAAGGATGGACAGAAAGAAAAAAAGAGGAGTTGTGAGTTTTGGAAACAGATATAGGGCCAAGGATGGGATGGGACAATGAACACAGAGCTCTGTGAGGAGGTTAACACCACAGATGAACCCTCTCTCCCTTATATGACTAAGGAGATGATGCAAAAAGCCTTTCCATCTTACTGCCACACTCCCCTTCCTGTCCCAAATCCAAAAATGGTTCATTAAACTGTGAGGGAAAAAAAAAATATCTTTTTTTTTGTACGTTAGCCTATTTTCAAGACACTAAAAATAGCACTTCCAGGCTCAGATTTAGGCCTCCGTAAACCTTGCAAAATGAAGTTAAGACCATCAGCGAGGCAAGGAAGCCGTCAGGGCAGCCGGGGACAGGACTGCGGCAGCCCGGCCGCAGGAGAGTGACGGCCGGTTACAGACGCGTTAACGCTCCCGAGGCAGGTACTGCGCACATCTGGAATCGAAACGTTCCACCTCCGTGTGCCTCGGGTTTCTAACTTGTTCCGTGGGAACAAAATGTGCTGGAGAGATCTGCAGTGACAGTCACAGCCAGAGCTGGGCAGAATCAGCGTCACTTAGGACCAGGACTGTGCCGACGTAGAGACAAGCACTTGCCACGTCTGTCACAACCATCGCTACGAAGGTTTCAGTAAGAAACAAACACAGCCGCCAAAATTAGACAGACTTCTTTGCTTTGCCTCTAAGCCAAACAAGGTCTTCACTATCTTTTCCCCACAAAAATGTTATGCGTGGTAACTGAATCTTTGGGGGAGTGAAGGGTTTAGTTACACACCAGAATAACTTTTATTTCTGTCTTTACCAAGTCACATCACCTACTTGTTCCACCCGTTAGCAGCTCTCCTTATAGATAAACCAGCTCTTTGGGACGCTGAGCACGGGAGTACCTTAACACCTAAACAAAAGTTCTGTTTCAGCTCAGAGAGGGTGTGAGGACTTCATGCCACCACCTACCTTTGTTCCCTGCTCAAGCAGCGACTTGGCAGAACAAACCTACACTTGCTACATTTAACACTTCTCTTACTCCGGCATCCCAGCTTGCGTTAGATCCATCCCACTTACCCATGGCTGGAGGTGCTGAGCTCACTCGTGCCCTCCCACGTATCGCACCCAAGGCAAGGAAACCCCGCTGCTGTATTGCTCACACAACCTCCAGATCTCGGCAACAGAACGGTCACCTCCTTCGCTT